ATTCAAAATATACACGTCACAAAAGAATCCCTGAAAACAAGATCAAAACATAAAAGAATCATTTCCTAGTTATGACGATCCAAGTCTGGAATTCCAGCAACAGCAGAGTGCTCAATTCCACACTCGTTCAATCCACGGATGATACGGAAGTATCCCTTCTCTCCCCAGTTGATGTTCCATGAGTTGGCAACAAGCCAGTATGGAGTTCCGTTGTCAACTCCCCATCCAAGGATCTTGACGGCGTGTCCTCCAAGAGAAGCTCCGGCGGTGTGGACGTAGACTCCAGTGGTGTATTGGTAGAAGTCTTCGTAGACGGTGAAGGCAACTTCGATTGGTCCGTTCTTAAGGATTTCGGTTTGGATTTGTTCAACCTTCTTTCCGACAGCGTAGGCGGTGGCTCCTGGAAAATTTTGAATATTGAAATGAGGTCAAGCTACCGTAGTCGGGGCTCTCGTCCACAGATAAGCCAAATGGTTTCATTTTTTGTCATAGTGGAAAAAAGAAACTAACCGAAGTGCTTATCCTGAAGATAGGCAGTTGGGTAGGTGTGGTTCGATGTGCAAGCGTCAACACACTTTGGAGTTGGCTCAGTGTCCTCTGGGCACTTTGGCCAGGTGACTCCATTGACGGTCTGTCCGCATGGGGCGATGGAGTATGGCTTGCATCCGAATTGAGATTCGTAGGATCCTCCGGTGACAAGTCCGTGCTTGCCCCACCATTTCCAGGCTTGGATTGGGTATCCTCCTTCGCATCTGGAAATCACAAAGTGAGTCTAGGCCTACAGAAAGAGAGTTATTTTAGCTTACCCATTTCCACAGCTGAAGATTCCGGTGCAGCAAGACAAAAGATCCTCGGAAGACAACAAAGTGTTGACGGCTCCATTGGATGCAATGCAAGTTCTGTCGGAGATAGCCTCGGCAGCAGCAAAAGCCCAGCAGGATCCACAGTCAGATTGATCTCTGATGTTGTCAATCGACACACAGCTTGGCCATTGTTCACGAGCATCGAAATGGTCTGGGATGGCATCGGATACTTCAGTGGCGACAATATCCTCATCCTTGTGTGGAACTACATACTTGGCATCCATCAACTTCTTCATAATCTTCTCCTTTGGAACAACTTGGTGTCCAGCAGTCCAGAGTTTTTGAGCAGAGTTCACATAGTCAATGAGAGCTTGCCCAGTAAGAGCTGGAGCTTCACGATGAGCTGGGAGCACGACGGCGGAGGCAGATGCCACAAGGAGAAGAGCGGAGAGCTTCCACATTTTTAGAGAGGGAGTTCTGATCTTTTTGGTGTCTTGATGCTCATTAAGTAGTGCATTTGTTATCAGTTAGGTTATCAGGTTATCAGTTGAAAAGTGGAGAAGAGTCCGGAATTAAAAATTAAATTAGGGATGAGTCTATGTGACGTAAAAGAAATAGTGTTGTAGACTTTCACTTTCGAAAGTTATCGGAATAGATCATTGGTGCGAAAAAGGAGGAGAAAGTTCATGTTGATCGGTGAATGCGGGAAAAGTCACGTGACAGAAAAACGTAGTAGGTACAGGAGTGTTGTTATGGTATATTGTATAGCCAGATTGGTATGATCTTCGGATTACTGTAGCTAGCCGGGTTACTGTATCTGGGGTCAAAGTCATAATTTTGAAAGAGCTTTCGTTAAGTGTATAGATTTTTTGGTAATTTTCGATTGAATGCCTTGTGTTACTGAAACTGGCCGAGTGCTGCTCATACCTAAAATATAAAAGCTTAAATTCCAATTTCCCGTACTTGATTTCATGGACTTAGTCAGTTTTCATATTCCCAGTTACCACTTTTCACATTATATGATGCAAACTTTGAAACTTTGATTTCCCCCCACCAACACACGATAAGAAATCATTGAATCAGACTCATTTCCTGCTTTTCAAATGCAGAAATTATTGATTTCTTTGGTCTTCTTTTTCGCTATATCAGGTACCCATTTCTCTTTTTTCCTGAAGCTTTTTCTCCAATCTCCATTTTTTCCAGATTCCTTCGACCCTCTGATCATCGACTATGTGAACTCCCAAAACACATTATGGACCGCCGGTATCCCAAAAATACCCCGGGAATCCATGCTGAAAACCCTTGTCAAAGATCCTCACCTTGCTGGATTTAGGGACCACGGACCCAGCGTCCCAACTGAAAATTCGGATCTTTCTCAGTTTTTTGACGCAAGGGAAAGATGGCCAGAATGTACGTCGATTCCACAGATCAATGATATTTCAGAGTGCAGTAAGTCCCGATATCCTAACTGCTCAGAAAAATCAAAAATTTCAGAATCCAGTTGGGCATTCGCCGCCGCCGAATCCATGTCTGATCGTTTGTGTATCAATTCTGGAGGAATGATCAACACAATTCTATCAGCTCAAGAACTCTTGAGTTGTTGTACAGGAGTACTGTCATGTGGAGAAGGGTAAGTCTAATTTTCACTTGACTAGGGGCGTTCCGGAACGTGATTTGCACACCCACACACCTTCCGCATAGTTTGTAAATTTTTTGTGCGAAACTTGAAAAATTTTCCTTATCGAAATTAATCACATGATGCAAAATGTGAAAGTGCACCATCAGCACAAATGAATCAAAAAATGGTCTAATCAAAATTTGAAGAATGAGAAGGAACTGTATCAGTGCGAAATCTAAATTTAGAATTATTTCAAATTTCAGCTGCGGTGGCGGAAACGCCTTCAAGGCTTGGCAGTACTGGGGGAAGCATGGTCTTCCTACCGGTGGATCCTATGAAACTCAATTCGGATGCAAGCCATATTCGATTGCTCCGTGTGGGAAGACTGTTGGGAATGTGACCTATCCAGCTTGCACAAATACAACATTGCCAACACCTAGTTGTGAGAAGAAGTGTACATCGAAGAATGGATATCCAGTTGATATCGATAAAGATCGGCATTATGGTATGTCTAGGGATTATCAACTAGAAGTTTTGAAACTGTGACGTTTCGCAACCGATAAAACACGTTAAATTAGGTCAAACATACGTATCTAGCTGTCCTATACCAGTTGCGTTGGTTGCGAAACGTCAGAGTTTTGAAACGTCCAGTTGCTAAATGTCGTGGAGTTGGGCAACTGTAAACTTGAAAACTTTCTGAGCATTGCCAACTTTGCCAACAAAATATTCTCAGGAGCCTCCTCCGTCGACCAACTTCCCAATCGTCAGATCGAAATTCAAAGTGACGTTATGCTAAACGGACCAATCGAAACCACTTTTGAAGTCTACGATGATTTCCTCCAGTACACTACCGGAATCTACGTACACCTGACCGGAAACAAACAAGGACACTTATCAGTTCGAATCCTCGGATGGGGAATGTACGAAGGTGTTCCATATTGGCTTCTGGCCAACTCTTGGGGCAAAGAATGGGGAGAGAACGGTACTTTCCGTGCTCTTCGTGGAACAAACGAATGCGGTTTGGAGGCCAATTGTGTGTCGGCAATGCCAAAGTTGGGTTAATTTCATTTGTTATTTTGTAATAAATGCATTGGAAAACTAGCACATCCCAAAAAAAACCACTTGAACTACATATACACTTTTTTATTTATTAAATGTGTAAACTAGTGAATTCGAATCTAATTGTATGTTACAAGAGAAAATGAGATGATGTGGTTGGGAGGGGACGGTCGTGAGGGGAACGATGAATGTTTATTCTGTGTGAATTCTCTCGGGACAGGAGAAACTTTTGGAGAAGGAGGAGAACAAGTTGAACTGTCTTGTGAACTTCACAGGAGCTTTTAGTTTATGTTTTGTCATTTTGAGAGAAATTACTGTTTTTTTTTTACTTTGCCTTCTCGGCATGGTTTTCCGTCTATTCTTCCTAGGTTCGGCGACAAAAAGTCAAGTTTTGAATGCCGCAGAAAAAAAATGAGGTGCAGTTCTAATAGGAGTTTTTGGATGATTGAATCCCTGTCCACTCGATCGAATTGCGCAACTTCTCTACTTTGCTTCATCCTAAAATTGCCTTCATTAGAAATTTTTTGTTCCGATTTTTGTTAATTTCATCTTGCGGAAGCTAATTTTTGAACTGTTCTGCCTTTTTTTTTCTTATTTTGCCATTCTTCGCCGGTTATGTTTGACCAAAGTTTGTTTGGCCTTTGGCTGGATTCACATTTTTTCCAGAGCTATTATCAAATCAAAAGAATCGCACAAATTTATTTTGAAAATTCACGTAATTTGGAAATTTTCAACTCCTCCCATTTCTGCAATCCTGCCGCACACTTTGAAAAAATACACTGGATGAATAAAACGTGACCCTCCAAATTCAGACTTGAACTCTCAAAACAACTGAAAACTTGAGTTTCGGAATACCGTGCGGAGAAATTGCAGAAATGGGAGGAGCATAGAATACGTGAGAATAATAAATAAATTTGTGCGATTTTTTTGATTCTATAATACCAAATTAAAAAATACAGAAAATCTAACTTGTAGGTTTTTCTATTTTGAAGAATACACTCTCCAAAATTTTGAACTGCTTTCAGTATTCCGAAGATCTCAAAAATCCAAATTCCAGTTTTTTTTTCTGTGCTGAATTAGTTCTGTAGTTTTTCACCTATATTAGTGTATTGTCTCACGAGAACAATTGAAAATTTCTCGAAGTCTCAACTTTTGTCTCGTCTCGTCTCGTCTCGTCTCGGAAAGTCTCATTCTCGTCTCGTCTCATTCTCGTCTCGTCTCGTCTCGTCTCAGTCTCGTCTCGTCTCGTCTCGACAGAGTCTCGAAAGTCTCGATTCTCGGAAATGTCTCGAAGTGTCTCGTCTCATTTTGTCTCGAAAGTTGCTTTCATCAAAATTTTTATTTTATAATCTAAATTCTGGCAAAACCAATATGTTTATTAAACATGCAAACGGACAATTGTATTATAGAAGGCCTAGTGATCAAGAAATTTGCATCTTATTTTTCTGTTTTTGTTTTTCATAGCACACTTGCACACATGCAAAAAACTAAAAAAGGTTAATGGAATTTACAAAGGAAAATACCTACAACGGGTTTGAACCCAGGACTGGTGTGGTATAACAACAAAGTCGCTACCGACTGCGCTACGCAGGCGGCTTATTATGGGCTTCTGAAATACACGTCTGGATTGGAAAAGGTTCCATTGAAAATTCCGAGCACGCTACCATCGGTGGAGAATACGAACTCTCTTCCAACAGTGGAAGCAACAACTAGCTCACCCCCGGCTGTGAAGAAGTCTGTTTCGGCTCCTCAAAAACAACAGAAATCTTCACGAGGACGAAGAAAGAGGCAGAAAGTTGGATCCGATTCAGAATAAATGTTTACTTTTTGTTAGGAAAAATGATTTTTAATGATTAATGAGTATGAACCTACTATAATACAATTTTCCGTTTGCATGTTTAATAAACATATTGGTTTTGCCAGAATTTAGGTTATAAAATAAAAATATTGATGAAAGCAACTTTCGAGACAAAATGAGACGAGACACTTCGAGACATTTCCGAGAATCGAGACTTTCGAGACTCTGTCGAGACGAGACGAGACGAGACTGAGACGAGACGAGACGAGACGAGAATGAGACGAGACGAGAATGAGACTTTCCGAGACGAGACGAGACGAGACGAGAATATTCAGTTCTCGGCGAGAATTTTAAATGAGAATGAGAAACGTCTCACGAGACGATACACTAACCTATATCCTCTTTGTCCTAACTTTGTCTACTGAATTTCGATAATTTCAAAACTATCTCCTTGGTTTACTTATCCTATTCCTTTGCTATCCTAATCCAACTTTCCAAAAACCCTTCCCCAAGAAATCCTATTCCCTTTGTAACTATCCTGTCCCCACATCCTAAATTCCAATGCCCTCCTCTTATTCCCCTTTTTGCCTGTCACAGACATTTTATGCAAAGAGGTCACATAGTAATTAGTTCATTTTCTTCTTTCCGCTACTCCGTTTTCATTTTCTTTTTTCTACACTTTCAACGTCTTCTCATTTCATCGGTGTTCCATGAAAATCTCTGTGTATTTGTGTGTGTGAACTGGGTTAGCACTGCGAAATGTATATTACTTTTGTACATCTTCTTCGTCTCCTTCGCTGCTATTTGTGTAGTTTGAATGATTTGTGGAAACTGTACTTTTTGGTTGTTGCGTGTTTATATGTATGTTTATGCATGAATTTGGGAGATTTGTTTACAATGCTAGTTTAATAGAAATTTGGAATTCTTTGACCGTTAGAACAGTCTCCAGGATCGTTTGCTATCGTTAATTGAACTTGTTAATTGAACTCTAGACATAGTTTTCTGGAATTTTTATCAGAGGTGAAGAGTGCTGTCAATAGAAATATCGTAGAGCTGTTATATACCAAATGCTAGCTTGGTTGTCACCGGCGAATACTGATTGGAAATTTAAAGTTCGTCAGATTTTGACCGAAAGTTATACAACTTCAGGTCCGAACATAGGTATTAGCAGCTTTTGATCTGAATTTTTTCCAGTTTTTCTCTAGTTGCCGGCAACGACCGAGAGGGTTTCAGTTATTTTTTGAAATTGAAATTCATAAAGTTTTGATTTCTTGAATCCCCTCTACTGCTCAGCGACATTATACAACCAGGTGCTTCGAAACTGGGGCATTTCAAGATTAGACGTTTCGTAACTAGACACATATATCATTACTTTTTTTGGCGACTGGGATCAGATAACTTTGAATATGTAACAAGCGTTGTTCTACGTCGTTTGTCAGTTCCGGACTGTCTAGTTACAAAACGACTAGTTTTAAAATGTCTGGTCTCAAATTTTTAAATATAACTCCCGTAATTTCTGTGATAGAGGCTCACCCATTACTCAAAACCTTTCGAGCAGCCTGTTACTTCCTTTTTTCCCATACAAGCTACCGCACCTTTTGAATAGTTCCTAGGATGATGGCAGCAGGCTCTACAACCAGTCAACGTTTTAACCAGTTTCCCTGTTGCACCAAATATTTCTCACCACACATCACACCTTTTCAATCAAAAAATCTCAGAACCATAACTGACCAATGACCGTCTCTTCCTTCCAATTGTCTCCATTTTTTGCTGATTTCCCCCTCTATTGTCACAGTACAACTACACCATCATCCCGAAATCTCCTCACACTTTTTCTCCTTCCTTCTACTTTCAAGTGACCGTTTCATTTTCCTTCATTTCTCCCTCTTTTAACACTTCACAAAATGCCTTTCGTCATAATCTTTTCTTCCGATATTGCCTTCTTTTTCACTTCACTTTTTCGACTTTGCAACAGAACGAAATCCATTCAATTGGCTAGACAGATATCTCACTTTTTGTGTTTTCATGATTTTTTCGTGGCTTTTTTTTGCAATTGGGGTTTTTTCAGATACCCAAAAAAGTTAATAATGTACATTGAAACCTTGTCACTTTGCATTCTGATATTCAACAAATTTGCCACATCAGCAGGGATTGTTCACATGACACAGAATTCTTTGAATGGTGCCAAGTTCTATGAGTTGAGAAGGTCTCCGCAGAAAGTTAGGGAGAGTTTCGAGATAAAAGGTAGGCTTCAGATCTAGAGAGCGATAGAGAGAGAGAGAGAGAGTGCAGAGAGTGCAGAGAAACTAGACTGTCTGCTCGTCTGCACCCTCTCTCCTTCTCTCTCTTCTCGTCTATTTCTGAAGTCTCTGAGGAATGAAATTTCTGTTTTCCAGCTTCCGGAAACTTCACACCTACAGTAATCTGCAGTTCCGATCAAATCGGATTGGCATTGAATGAAAACTTCGCGGATATTCGGATGTACGTCTCGGATCACTCACATCATCCAGAGTGTTTACGGAGGTTCTCATTAGAAGTGGAACCACAATTTGTGACAAGAATGGATGGTCCTTGTGGGGTTAGGAGGGTTTATAAGGTGAGTTTTTTTTGTAATAAAAAGTTTGAGAGCAACAAAAGTACCACATTTAGAACCAGCCAAATCAAAATATCGGTTTATTTTTTCAAACTTCCTTCCCAACCCGAACTTTCCCAACCCCTTCTACATCTTCCAGGGCGTCCCGTCCTCCTCTGTAACCTACTCCATTCGTTTGATTGTCTCTCACAATCCGGACGAGCTAACCGAATTCGATAAAATCTACGACGTCACTTGCTCATTGCACTTAAAAACGATGGAAGTGAAGGCGGCCTATGATATTATGTAAGTGCATCTTTGCTCACGCCATTTCACGTGGCAATTCGTCAAAAAACCAAACGGGCTATTTTATTGGTACGGGATGGCGTGACGGAAGATAGATTATATTCTGCAAAATTATGAGGAAGTAGTGCAATGGTTTTTGAACCCGTATGTGCACTTTCTGTAGGTCAAAAGATCAATTTCCAGAACGCCTCAAACTACAACTCTATCATCTTCAACAACCCAAACCAAAGTTGGTCCAAAGTGCAAATATTCCCTCCATCACGATCGAGTTGGTGGTCCCAGAACTGCATCAGCACATGTTGGAGAAGTGGTAACTTTTCAGACTTTGGGGGCCAGTCTTTCAGAAATTTCAATTTTCACAGATATACCACCGCTGGAAATGCGCAGCACCAATGTATCGGGACAATCGAATCAGCCCGGAACAAGCAAGCTACATTTTCAAAGTGTATTCATGTGTGGTTCACGATGAGAAGAATAGAACGTACTCGATTATCGATGATGATGGATGTTCATTGGATGAGGAGATTATACCAACCCCAGAATATGATGTAGAGAATGGTGTGATTTACACACCGAGCAAGGCGTTCAGGTATGCGGTTTGCTTACCCATGTCCGAAAAGACCCGCCGGATCCCGCGCGGGCCCCGCGCTAGCCTTGCGAAAACTATCTTCAAATTTCAAACTGTGGGTTTGCCAGTACATCAAATTTAGGGTCTTGGTTAGTACTAGGGATATAAAAGCTCAGTCAGATCAAAATGACCTACCGGCAAGCGTTTCCGGGCCCGTCGTTCTGGAGCCGGTCTTCCTAGCCTGGCTCGCGCAGCTCATTTCAATCTGACAGTTGGCCTAAGCTTCCATACTAGTAATACTCACCGAGTCGTACATTTTGGTATGTTCACGAGCCCACAATTTTGAATTGGAAGAAAATTATTGCGTCGGGTCCGGTAGGTCTGGCAGGTCATTCTGAAAACTACTCGGATACCAACTGTTGCTCAATGTTCCTTTTTAGACCACTCTGATCCTTTTGATCTTCCATAAATCCCATTTTGGTCCCTATTCCCTCCAATCCAAACAAATCCAATCTCATTGATTTCACCCTATTTTCAGATTCGCAAATTCAAACCACGTGCATTTCAAATGCATGATTTCCGTGTGCTCAGCCGTCGATCCCTCATGTCGGAGTAGTGTGGTGAGTCGTCGACCTTGTGTGTGTTAAAAAAACCCATTCTTCTTCTCACCCATTCTTCATTTCACGCCTTCTCTCTCTGAATTTTAAATCAGAAAAAGGAGAAGTCGGGGCACACATGACACTCATTTTTCAGCCTCCAAAATGCAGGCAAGAGAAGACGAAGAAGAAGCGGCGACAGCTGCCCGAGGAGATGACGATTGAGCAGAGATTGCTCAGAATTCATGAGTTAATGAAAGCGAAACGCGAGAATTTCACGGTGGAAGTGGGCGGAGCCGCGAGAAGGAGGAATATGAAAAACAACAGCTATCAGGATAGTCAAGGGAACCGATTGGAAGTGGAAGCGGAGCCTTTGAGTGTGATGGTTGATAGGGATTACGGTACGTTTTGGAGGTAGATGAGAAATAAATCAAGAGTTGGGGGACTCAAATAATGGGTACTCATGAAGTCAGAGCCGAGGATGTCAGATTGGGCTTTTTGCTACAAGCCGGACGCGGAAAACCCGATCGGGCCGCTTTTTTTGTCATATTATACGAATCTTTATGCTCTACAAAGCCACCTGTAACACTGAAAACATCCCAATGCCATGAGGACTGATGATAAAAGCCTCGGCTCTAATTCAAAATAACTCAAACATGTCGCAAGTTTTCCAATGGACGAGCACGCTTTATTCAGAGCATCACGTCTCAGATAGCGTTGAATTAACTGGCCTATTAACGACACTAGAAGCTC